TAAAAAAAAAAAGGATTTATTTCACTTATTTACTTATGCACACAAGTGCTGGGGGTTAGGCCAGAGGTGTGGTGGGGCTGGGAGGGTTAAGAGGATTCACCTGAGACAGAGGGGAGCTGAACAGGTGGGTCTACTGAAATACATTGCTGAGGGGAGCAATGGGAGAGACCAGAGGGGTCTGCTGTGCTAAGTGGATTAAATCCCTAGTGGGGATGAAAGTTATGCTGCAATGGCTACAGACAGCTTGATAGCACTGAGACTTTAACCTCTGTACCACCAGGGAGGCCCCTGGTAGCCTTTCTTATAAAGGAAACAAATACATTTTTAAATTAGGAGATTGTGCAAATCCTGTGAATTACCAAAAAAAATTTGAATTATACATTTTTAATGGGTAAATAGTATGTGAATTAAATCTGGTTTTGTTTTATGTTTGTTTGTTCTTAAAGATTTATTTATGCATACAGACCTGAGGTACAGGCCAGAGTGCAAGGTTAGTGAGAGGTTTCACCAGAGCCAGAGTGGGGAGCAGAACAGGCAGACTGATGAAGTACACTGCTGAGGGGAGCAGTGACCAAGACAGGAGAGGTCTGCTGGCCGTGTGGGTCACCTTGGGGCTGACCGAAGATCGAACTCCCACTGAGGCATCTGCAGCCAGCTTGCAATGCTGCGCTTCAACCTGTAGGGCCACCAGGAAGGGCCCTGGTTTTGTGTTTTTGAAGACTTTCCTGGCTCAGTCAACATTGCTAGTGATGTGGCTGACCAGGAACAATGGAAAGAGTAGCAACAATCCAAATTAAACAGACCAAACCTTGGTTGTCAAGTCTGTCTGCAGAAAAGAGTCCATCACTATGAAGCTTGGAAGCAATCCTGAGAGCTATCTGCTACATGAGGCATTTCCATTTTTAAAGAAATAAAAGACAAATTTGGAAACCCTGGGCATTAGGCATGATCTTATGCAAGTGCTCAAAGCTAGCATCACTCACAGAACCTGGTATTTGTATTTAAACTGTGGCATGGCTTAGAAATAATTGAATTTTCCACATCCTATAACTAATGCAATTTCTAATTATTACTTGGCTGCCTATGTAAATCTGAAGTAAATCTGTGGAGTTTTTTCCCCTTACATCAGTACAATATGAATAAATGTAAGTAATTGTCATGTCTGATTTACCTAGTATTTTGTTAAGCAGCTAAAAGTAAATATTGAAAATAGTTGTTAGCACGTTTGAACAGGTGTTTGCATAAAGGAAGGTTCTAGGTCTTTAATTATAGGAATGATGGACTCAAAGCAAATTACTACCCTAACTATGCTTATTTCCTTACATTTAAACTACTTGATTTTAACTGTCCTGTTTAATGTAAGTTTTCATTACAAATGGTCTCAGATTTATTTTGGATGTAAGTGGCAATAGAGAAATAAATAGATGAAGATTAATACAGGGTCTCGACCACTTCTCCCCCCTCCCTGCTCTCCTCAGCAGTATAGTTCTTTAATCGCCTGTTCTACTCCCCACTCTGTCTCTGGTGAATCCTCTCACCACCCCTGCACCTCTGGCCTG